ACCTATCTATCTGTATCTATTCAATCTGTTATATCTAATCTGTATCTAGATCATTATATCTATAGATAGATGATAAAATACCTTCTGAATTCATATTGGTACTTACAGTTCAATTTCAAGACTACAGTTGAGCTTTTCCTTAACCTCCTGTCACATCTATATCTCCTTTTCTCTCTCACTGAAGACACAGGAAGATGGAATTTGAATATCCCACAATTACTCAATTTTAAAACCCCATATTACACCCCCACAGTATCAGATTACCAGTGCTAATACTATCACCACTATGATTACTGAAAACATTAAAAACATATTTTGCCTGTGCTCTTCCCACTGACTACCTACCTCGAGTTTTTATTGCAGAAAATATCTGTAACATAAAATTTGCCATTTTAACCGTTTTAAAGTGTGTGGTTCAGTGGCTTTAATTACATTCACAGTGTTGTACAACCATCACCATCATCTGCATCCCAAACTTTTTCATCACCCCAAACAGAAAGTCTGTAACCATTAAGACAGAACTCCCATTTCCTGCTACTCCCAGACCCTGGTAACTTCTAATGTACTTTCTGTCTTTATGAATTTGCTTACTGTATATATTTCATATAAGCGTCAATCACTCCATTTTAAAAATAGTGCACTATGTTTATATTGTCAGAACACATATCCATCACGTACTGTACTTTCTCCTTTGCTGTCATTTAATCCTAGTTCTATGGGTAACTGCATATTGATCTCTCGCCGCCAGCCCTCGTGCTGATGTCTCGAGTCATTCTAGTTGCGTGAAGCCTGTTCTCTAGTAGATTCCTCAGGAAGGGCTGTGGAATCAGTATCTCTTGAACTCTTGTGTGTTGATAATATTCTTTGCCCTTTACACTTGAAAGTCATTCTTGCTATATATAAAGTCCATGGTTCGCATTTTTTTCCTTGAATATATTAAAAATGTTTCTCTTGTTTACTTTCAGTGTAAACATTGCTGTCAAAAATCTGATGACAATTTCGTCTTCTTTCCCTTATGAATCACGTGTTGTTCTAGCTGAACAGTTTTTTCCCTTTTTTTTTTAAAGTCTGATGATTTTACTAGACTCTGTCTTGGTATTACTGTTACAACATTTGTAGCCCAGTTGTTCCCTGGACTAATATTCTCGGATACATTATATAGTTTGTTTTTTTTAATTTCAGGAAAATTTTCTTGAATGACACTTTAATATTTGCTCTGTTGCTTTGCTTTGTTTTTCTTCTTCTGGAAGAAGATCTCTGGCCTATCCTCCATATCTGTCACTTTCAAAACTTTTTCTCTTTAATCACTTAAAATATTTAGAGGTAATTTTAGATTCACATACAGTTGTAAGAAATAATGCAGAGAAATTCTGTGTATCTTTCACAGTTTCCCCCAATGGTGTTACCTTGCTTAGCTCTAGTAGAATGTCAAAACCAGGAAACTGACATTGGTACAATCCACCAACCTTATCAGATTTGACCAGTTTTGCATGTACTCACGTGTACACTTAGTTCTATGCAATTTATCACATGTGCAGATTGATGTGAGTACCACTCCAGTCAAGATACAGGAGTTTTGTCACAAAGAACTCTTTCCTTCCCTTTTATAGCTACAGCCACCTCCTTCTTTCTCATCTTATTAACCCCTGACAACCAATAATCTGTTCCCCATCTCTGTAATGTTGTCATTTCAAGAAGGCTGTATAAATGGGATCATATTGTATATATATATATAGCCTTTGGGGATTGACTGGTTTTTTCACTTAGCCTCATTCCCTGGAGATTCATCCAAGCTGTGGAATGTATCAGTGGGTCACTCCTTTGGATTGCTGAATAGTATTCCTTGGTATGAATGAACCCAATTAGTTTAACCAGTCATGTCTCGAAGGACATCTGGGCTGATTCCAGTTTTTGGCTGCTACAAATACATCTATGAGGAACATTCACATGCAGGCTTTTGGACATGTCCCAGTTTCAGCCTGCCTGCTTTCCACAGGATACCCACTGTTCTGGGGTTTCTGGGGTTCCCTTGTTCTCAGACTCTGCCCACTGCTCCCTTGTTCTTCCTCCTGCACAGATTCCAGTGCCATAACAGTCTGGTGGGTTTGCGGCTTTTCATCTGGTTTTGTTATACATATTTTCCATGGGTTTTGGTTCTCAAGTTTTCCTCTGAGTATTCAGCGAGATTGAAAAATGATGCTGCACTGCCCCCACTCTTCCGAGAATCTACACCTCAGACGTGTATTTTCAAAATAATATTTTCTTCTGAATTTCTATAAGTTGTGTCATGAGTGGAACCCAAACACTTCAGCACGTGGCAAGAGATTTTATTAATAATTCATCCTTCAGTCTTTTAGACCCAGAAGCCATGCGTAGATTCACATAACATTTCTTATTTAGTAGCCATTACTTTGAGCAAGTTTATTAACCTCTCTGTACTTCAGTTTCTTCCTGTGTTAAATGCGGATCATGACAGAAACATCTTCATTAGCCTCCTGTGATAATTAAATGAGGAAATGCACACAAGACTCCTAGAGTAGTGCCTGGAACATAGTAATTGCTCAGGTAAATTTTAGTAATTACTGTTTTCTTTGTGTATCTGTGTTCTGATTCAACAGGTATGGATGTTAAAGTTTCCCTCTGAGAGGGTAGTCTTACTTCATTTATTTTGAATTTCTTGGCAATACTTTATCAACCAAAAATTAATACCTCTTACTGTATTTTTCCTCTTAAAATTGTTGTTAAAGTAAATTTGGGGGCATAGTATAACCAACTTGCATCTGGACAGTAGGACCATCCTTCTATACAGTGTCTACATAGAGCAGGTGCTGGATTGCTGAACTTACGGTGGTTGTGACCTGGACACTTGCCACCCTGGATGCAGTTAACACGCGTGTCTGCCTCTGCCCCGTGTTGCAGCACCCTTCCGAGTTTGGATGCCCCGTATCCCATTCTGGTGTTGGCTGGTCCTCAAGCGTGTGGTAAACGAGAGCTCGCTCATCGCCTCTGCAGGCAGTTTAGCACTTACTTCAGATACGGGTAAGTTTCTTTGTTGGCTGATAAGGCTGTCACATGTCTAATATTGCAAATGTTGGTTATTAATTTTAAGCAAGTTTTTAAAAATGTACATAGAAGGCTTATGAGCATCTTTACTAGGTGTTACACTGTGATATACACTGTAATTTTTTTTTAACTTTAATTCTCCAAATGTTTTACTTAATTCAACAACCGAAATCACTCTCCACGTGTTGGAAGGTACATGTGGCTTTAATTAAGCCCAGTGGTGTTGAAACGCGGTCTCCTCCTGTGTGTGGTGTGACAACACAAATCACAGTGTTGTGATGGGTGGTGGGTAGGTTTGTGCACCGGTGACAGCCTCTCCTGGTCTCTGCTGGAGCTCATGCTGCCAGCCATCAGCTGCTTCATTTGCACACGGGTCCTCCTCTTTGGAGGCATATTTCCTGAAGGAGGAAGAGGAAGAGGAAGGAAAAGGGGCAGCAAAAGTGTTTCTTTTCCTTTTCCTCAGGTTAGCCTTCAATATACTTTTGGTTTTCCAGAGCAAATATTTTGCTGCGTGATTCCCTAATGACCCAGTTAAAATAGAAGGTTATATCCAAAAAACTAGAACCATCCAAGAAAATCTTCAGCTGGATTTACAGACTTTTTAAAAGTTTTCAGGGAGTCAGATTTAGAATTACTGCTGTGGTCTTTAAAACTGGTTTTCTCTTATTTTTCATCTATGGCAAAAACATTACTTTTAGATTAGTGATGTTTGCCAGTGAGCCGAGAATGTGTCTGCCAAGATATATAGGACAGAAAGAAAGAGAAATGCAAATTATTTTCTAATGCTATTACAGAAAAGTTCCTTCCCTGAAGCTACACATGTTCAAACAATGTAAACACTATTTTAAACAGGTCCATTTATTTAGAGATCTAACATTACATCCCCCATTTGAACAGTTCTAGGATACAAATACATAGAACAATTTATCCATTAGTATATTCTAAACACCTTGAAGCAACAACAATAAGTTAAAACTTGATATTAGAATAAAAAAGTACAGAGTGTCATCATGCTTATATGGTGGTACGGAACCTGTTTTGAAAAATAAGTAAGACACGATGAATGGATGATCCAATTAGAGCAAAAAGGTGTGTCCCGACCACAGTGCTAATACGTAAATCTGGAACCTTTCAGCAAACCGCAGTGAGTTATGGGAGCCAAGGCTTTCTCCAGTTAAAATTCTTTTCACATTTCTGACACCAATTAGGTTGCAGATGGCTGGTAGCCCGTCCTTCATGTTTACTTGTGATGGGCACCGCTGAGGCACTCTGGGTCAGATGTGTTTCTGGAGGTGTTTATTAACTGATCATAAAGATTCTGATCTGGGGGTGAAGGGAGATAATAATAGCTCAGTGATAGGGCACATGCTTAGCATGTGCAAGGTCCTGGGCTTAATCCCCAGTACCTGCACACACCAAAGAAAGTTTCTGGTCCAGTCTGCCTCTACATTCTCTCCTGGATAGGCACCGCCAGTGTTCATTCTTATTAAATCCTCCTTTCACCTATTAGAATATTTATCCATCATGTTTGTGATGATGTATTTAACGCTTGTTTTGCCTGCTCGACTGTAAGCTGACCACCAACGTCAGCTTTGCTTACCACTGAGTTCTCAATGTTCAGCAGGTAGCCAGGCACTTAATAAATGCATGAGAAATATTTGGTAAATGAATGACTAAGTGCTTGAGTGAATTGGTGGAGGAATGAATGAATGCTATTGTATGAAATGTTTAGCAGGGAATTACTGTAATAAGAAGCATAGGTGGTTTCCCCAACTTCCACCGATGGGGATAAGAAGGGACGGAGGGATTTGTCCATCCATTCTTTTGATAAACGTTTATCGGTTTCTTCCCATGTGCTTGACCCTGAAGATACGGTGGGAACAAGACTGGTGAGGTCTTTGCCTTAATGAACTTTGTAATCTGGTGGGGGACTGAGACCTTAAATAGTTAGTGTCATGTGCAATTTGTGTGGAGGTACAAGGTGGCAAAACAAAATCCCAAAATTAGCTTCCTGCTCCTTCACTGTTACCGCTGCCACTGCTGTTTCTCGTGGTGAGTGGGAAGACACTCACAAGTGCCCCCTGCTCACTCACCCACTTCCCTCACAGGCTCAGACGCAGCATCCAACCAGGCACTGGCATCCTCCGGGAGGCAGAGGTCAGGGTTGTTCAGTGGCAAATCATTCTAAGAATTCCATCAAGGCGTGGATCAAAGAGCATATCATTGAATAAAAAAGGTGTTAGCGAACTAGTCATTTCATGCAATGAGAAAGTCAGGTAGTACTACTAATTTAATGCAGCAACTTTCTGATTAAAACAAATGATAAAACTGAAGCACATCCTCAGGAGCAAGTCATTGTTCTTGTTTAGGTTTTCTTTTCTTTTATTCTTTATCCAGCATACATTTTATTGATTTTTATTAACTGAAAAGAAAAAAGGCCATATGTACAGTCTTATTGTGAAACACATAAGCATTTACAAAGGTGCTTTCTCTGCCATTTGTCTGAATCTTTTTTTTCCCTCCTATCTATTTCATTTTCTCCTGGCACTTTTCTCTTCCTTTTTAAATTGCATTGACCCAGAACCAAGACATTCAATGAAATTTTCACATGCTAAGTTGCATATCCAGAGGTATCCATATTAAAACCATAGCTCGGTAGTATAACAAATTATTGGTGTGGCCGAGAGATTGTGCCCTTGTCCAAGGTTCTGATTTTATTATTTGTTCTTGGTTTTAAAAATAGGCTGGATGTTCTTTCTTTACCTGTGTTAGCTGTAAGTGGCATGGAAATAGGCATTTACCACCTTCCGAGTCTCTCCATTTATTTCCAATCTTAATATTACCATGCAGACCTGTGGCTTCCTGGAAGCATGCTGGGTAATGAGAGAAACGTACAACAATAGCAGCGTGCGTGTTCATCTTCCAGACGTGAGGCCTTGAAAGTGATCTGAAAAGTCATAGAAGCATAACTTTATGCTTCTTCGTTAGATCTCTGTTTTATAGCAATCTCTATTTTTATGACCTTTTCCATGACGTTGACTACTAGATTTTCCTTTTAGGACTGGACTACAGTGAAGTAAAAGACCACAGCTATTTAGCTAAATGAGATGGTCTGAGCTATGGCTGCCCAAGCACCATCTATTCTCTTGTCCGTTTATGCAGATGTGGCGGACTGGTAGGATGGTGCATCCATTCCCTCAGTCAGTGTTTACTGAGCACCATCCATGTGCCCGGTTCCAGTGAGAAAACTAGAAACCAAGCAGACATGGCCCTTGTCCTCCTGGTAGCTTGCACCTAGTGTGAGATTTAGATGATGAATAAATGCTGTCTAACTGGACAGTTTGTTGGGTACTGTGTGTGGGAAGGAAAGAGCCTCTGTGACTGAAGTGAAAGATAGTGGGATGTGACTGGGGAGTGGAGATTGCATTCCAGGCAGGCAGAACACCGGGCACATTTGGGTCACTGAAAGTACACTGTAGTGTGGCTGGACTTGAGGTGTGGAGGAAGATGGCAGAAGATAAGACCAGAAAAGTAGACCGGGGTCTGAGCATCAAGAGTCTCTAAGCAGGGGCGTGTCGTGATCACAGCTGCGTTTTAGAAAGTACATCCTGTGGGCAGTTTCGGGGAGGGCTTGGGGAGGGAAGGCTGCAGACAAGATCACTGCTTAGGATATAGTGACGGATGTAGATGGCATGAATTAGAGAGTGGTATGTAGTTACCGGAAAGTGAATAGAGTAGTGGCTTCCTGGAATCTGATGCTCAGACACAGTACGTGCTGGCATCTGCTGTGCTCATGATCTCTTAATTGTGTCCAGCAATACCGACATTTATTTGCACTGAGCATTGGGATTAATTTCATTTGCCTACCAAATGCCCTAGGAATACCTGGGCTGTTGTGGCTCCCCAGAGAAAGAGCTCCCTAACTAACAATATGGCATGCTATAACGTACTTGAATTTGGATGAGCTCACAGCCAAGCCGCTGCCTAAATATTTACAGTGACAAGAAGTTCGTTATTTCTTGAGGCAATCTGGTCCGGAATTGAGATTCTAAATCTGCATGCTTCTGAATCACACTGAAGAAATGTCTGTGTCCTCGTCCGTCTGCTAGCTTTCTTAGATATCTTTTCTTCTTCCTATTACGTTTTCTTGGGTATATTAACGTTTCATTATTTGGCCTGGCCTTTCCAGATTCCTTTCCCTCCTGATCATGTTCTCCTGTCTGTGGAGATGGTATGTTAGGGTCATCAATGACAGATGGCCAATGAATTGGCCTTTAGAGTGCTAACCCACTCACCCTTAGTTTAGCACCAGTGTTATATCCTGGGGCTAATTGCTAAGTCAACTCTTTTGTCTGTTAAGTGAAAGTAACAAGGGACTATGGCTCCCATTACAAACCATGATTTGACTAATTTACAGTCATCTAACTAGTAAATTAATTAGTAATAATAAACTTATGGAAATGTAAATTACAAGTGAAATTATATTTAGATACGGGAGAGGAGCAATATTCAAGGTGATGGCCCAGGCAAATTTCTTCCCTAAAGTCTGGTATCATGTTTTTTCTAAGTTTAGTCAAATATTGCTTTTCTATGAAGTATTTCCTTTTTAAAATGTTCGTATTTGGGTGGCATACTACACAGCGAACATTTCCATATGTGAGACTTGGATGACAGATTCAAAAAACCACAGGTCATCTTAGGTCTTTCTTAACAGAAAGTTCTGCAGTGGCTGCCGGTTTTGTCATCAGCATTTTCCGTGTCAGTGAAGCCATCTCTTTATTTACCTGCCTAGAAGTTTGAGTTGCTTCTTTGCTTTGTTTTCTTCTTAGAAATTCTGGACAAAAATCCCTGCCACTCAATTCCTTTGCTGGAAAATGCAAATTCAGTGCAGTGCATAAAGGATATGCTAAGGGTGTGCAGTACAGGATGTCAAGTTACTGAGTTATCTGTCCTGTAGACAGAGGGTCTCAAGTCCCTGCCAAGGGGTGTGGAGGAATGCCAGTGTACCCAAACAGCACAACAAATGTTGTGTGTTTTGACATTCTTCTCTTAGAATATGCTCTCTTTCCTGAATATACAATTTAAATGTAATGTTAAGACCTTCGAATTTATAGGATAGTTAATTCTTGATTATAATGGAAGAGGAACGTGGTATGAGCTATGAAAATCCATTTGTCTTTGACTTTGTAATGGAGAGGATTTTGAGGTTGCGACTTTACCCTTTTAGTGTGATGCTGAAAGGACTTGACTTTGGTGTCATCCTGTTGTTTCTTTCTTTTTTTTTTTCATGCTAGCTATGTAGCTCTGGCTTCAGAGAGTTGCAGGATCCTGTTGTTTCTTACTCACATTACTTATAACTGCTCTGCCTCAATTTTATCCTCTATAAAATAAAAACAGTAACACCTACCTCATGGTTTTCTGTGAGGAGTAAATGAAATAGTGTATCATGTGTCTAATAGCTTGCATCTCTTATTTTAAAACCGTAGGATAATCTAAAGATCAGTTTGCATTCCCAGAACTTAACATTGGGAGGTCAGAATGGTACAAAATCAAGAGTCCTGGCCTAGCTGGGATGCCTGCACTTCTGGGTCTGGGACTGATCCTGGCCTGGTCTCAGACAAGTCATGTTTGTAGTCATCTTAAAATGGAGTTCATCACATCCATTTCATGTTTCATTAATTCATTCATGCTGCAAATATTTAATAAATGCGAGGCATTGGGGATGCAGTGGCAGATGAGATGAGCAAGATGAAGTCCTCCCCTCATGATTCGCACGTCCTGCTGGGGAAGATAGGAAGAAAACAGAGAGAAGAAGGTAGTTTTGGTGATGGAGAGTACTTGGGGGTGTGGCAGGATGGAGTGGGGATGCTGTATCAGAGGGCGAGCAGAAAGGCCTCTCTGGCTGGGCTGAGAATTCCATTCGGCACTGGCGTCCTGGATTCCCATGGGAGGTTCATGCACAGTATCGATACTGTGCGGGGACAGTGGAATGAGCTCATCCCTGCCCTCAGGCTGCGGAGGAGATGGGATCCTGAACAGGGGCTGGGAGGCAGATGGCGGTAGGCACTGAGGCTCTGGAAAGATGAAGAGGAGGTGTGAAATTCAGCGACAGGGAGTCAGGAAAGGCCTTTTAGGGAAGTGATGCTTAAACTGAGTCCTGAAAGACAAGTGAGTCAGCCAGGCAGAGGAATGGGGAGGGAAGCATGCAGAAAGCGCCCGTATATCGGAGACAGCATGAAAACAGTGGGGTGAAAAGCCTGTGGATAATAAATATTGTTATATCTCAAAGTATTATGATGTGGTATCAGAGGAGGTGGTTCAGGAGGTGATAAAGAACAAAGAGTGAAAGTTTGGTGTCTATAATCCGGAATTTGTCTAATCCCTGTAGAATACAGCAAGTGAATGTAGCCGAGCACTGTAAAACCTCAGGGTTTTCACAGTTATGTTACTTATGATTTATGATTTGTGGATCAATTTTAGTATTTTTTTAAACATAGTCTAGACCAAAACTTTTTCCATTTTGAATTTCAAGTTAATGGAACTAGATGAGGAGGTTACCTGCTTTATGTTTTCAGGCCCTTTCACACCACAAGACCACCTTACTTTGGAGAAGGAGATCGAGTTGATTATCATTTCATCTCTCAAGAAGTTTTTGATGAAATGTTCAACATGGTAAGAATGTTCTCAATTTTTATCGCACAAGAAAGACAAGTTCTCCAGTAGAAATATTAGGAAATAGTAATAAGAAAGAGAACAATTATATTTGTTTTTTCATGAGAGATGTGTTCTTACTGAGTTACTTTTTCCTTAAGCATTTAATACATCATTGTTCACATGCTGCTTGATTTTATGATCTTGGAGAAAATATTATAAATTTCCAGTGAAACTAAATAAACAGACATATTAAGAAGCTGGGAGGAAGGACACCACGAAAAGTTCTTTAGATCTGTATTGATCAGGTGCTTCTCTTCTTGATTGGATTTACTCAAGACAAACAATTCTCACAGACCTGCTGGGATGCACCAAGCTTGTGAACTGAGCACTTCAGGGGGTTGGATTGTTCTGTCCAGAGACCACTCCCTCTGTTTGCCATCACTGGTGCTTTCTGATCGTTGCAACCCTAAGCTCCATTTCACCCTGGTATATCCCATTTAGTTGGTCTGCCCTGGACATGTCCACAGCCTTAATCTCCCACCATGACATCCCTGTGTGTGAAGTCCTGAGTTCTGGAGGGCAGGCAGTTCACTAATGCAGGTGGAAGCCCTTGCCATTAGACCAGAGAGGATTCCTCATTTCTTTGAGGTCTGTGTCTTTACTAGGTGAGGCTAACTACCCTGCCCTAGTCCATTTCATACTAGCTATGGGAAATCTTACTCAATTTGAAGATTTTTTTCCCTGAACCCTGACAAATCTAGTTATTGGTAATAATTCATGACATCCTTGTCTCTGAGTTCATTTCCTAAAAAAAAAATTCATTCTTTCTTGGTCTTTACATGCAAAGGGAATTCTCACAACCCTGGTGTATTTTATCTGCCAAAAGTATATGCTAATGTCAATACATATCCACCCATGACTTCAGTTAAACAGCGAGAGTATCTCATATTCATCACTACTGATGAATCTGTAAGCCTTTTATTTTCTCTTCACCATGGGCCTTAATTGTGTTTATATTATCATCTTTTCTATCACCAAATGAATCCTACACCACTCTTGTTTTTTCCTGAAGCCTACTGAAAGACTGGATTAAGGATAAGTTTATATTTCTGCTTTTGAAAGATTACCATCCAACCAGTGATGCTTTTATAGCTACATCCCCCTCTCCCCTCTCTTCTTTCTCCTTCCATCCTTTCTCTGCCTCTTCCCCCCAAAATGGAGCTGGCTTATACCTCAGTGCACGAGCTTAGATCTTCTGGAGCACTTAAAGCAAGAGGCTCTTAGTTGCGACGAGTTTAATTTGGAACGGCCAGCGTTACACGGGGTGCGCGTTTTCTCTAGCTTTCACAGAGAAACCCAAGCGAGAAAGTCCTATAATCACCAGGATATTTTCGCTCTAATCTTGTCAAGAGAACCTCTTGGAAATTCTTTATGATTTTCTCTCCTAGGGCTGTGTTTTAGAAGTTCAGTCTAAAGTATCAGGAGTACTCTGGGACTTCATATTTCTAAAAGCCGTAATAGAAATTTGAGGAGTTATCTTGACATTAGTAAGAAGCATTCTCCTAGGACTCTGGGCTGAAAGACAAGTAGTTCCCAAAATTGATGTTAATTTCTCTCGTTAGAGTCTGAGACATTTTTCTCTTGGTTAATTCATCTGTCCTCAGTGCCTCACATGCTCCTCTGATGTTTCACTCCTTATCGTATCTGTAGTCAAGTAAGCCTGGTTCCGTTTCTAGCCTAAGAAGGAAATCATTGTGCTTCTGTACCAGATCTAGTCTTCTACTTTCACTCCCTCCACAGAAGTTCTTGCGTGTTTGAGAAGTACTCATTTTTACTGCTTCTGCTAGCATATATTACTTCACTGTAAGTTCTTTATCTTCAACTTGGATTTTGCTTCAGATCTTCTTTTCTTGAAGGTAAGCTTGAGGCTGTTTCATGAAGAGAGACAAACCTAGAGATGAGAAACTCAAGACACATGGTCAGCCTTACCAGTTACGCCCACACACTCAGCCTTCTGTACACAGAAACCCCCTCCATGGAACGCTCACCCGGACAGCCTGTCCCCCTCCCAAATCACAGTCCCCACCTTGACAGACAGCCCTGCTCACCTGCTGTGGACAGTCCCACCTACGCTCTGTGACAGGTACACCTAACTCCCACACCCCTCCATATACATTCCACCCCCACCCCCAAACACAGATCATCCCCCACCCCGTGTGCCCGTAGACACAGGAGCCCCGTTTAAGGACATAAACACAGTCACTTACCTACAGAGTCTCTTCTTCTTTTGTGGAAATAAGACCACAGATCTGGAGGTTTCTGAAGTATGATTACTGCTATTTATTAAAAAATCCATAGGGAACAATGCAAGGACTATCCAGGAGCTGGGGGACCACTTCATCTCAATTCTTAACAAATCCGTTGAATAAGCCCTGTTTTAGACACACAAGTAACAATGCAAGATTCCTCCCAACCAAACATCCTTCCAGAAAATGTTTTTGGGATCCACAGAGGGAGACCCTCGTACACACAAGTAAACAAACTCGTAGTATGTATCTGAAAAGGGGATTCAAACAGACATTACAAAAACAGACTCACAGTGAACAAAATCGAATACATACCTTATGGGGGCGTCAGATGCCTAGTTACCAAATAGATAAGACTACAGATTTTAAAAGGAAAGGAGTCACAGTGTGTGTTTGAAAGAACAAAGAGTACACGACATTGAGGAAGTCAAACAGTAAGGATATTTACTGTTGAGATTTTAACTTTCAGAATCCATGACATAAATTTCTTTCGATTATGTTGTGTGTGGCTTTTCCTCATCACTCACAGCAGACACATCCCCCAAAGACTCACCCCTGTGAGGGACACCCTATGTCTCCTGGCCTTCCAACACCCCCTCCAACAGACAGCCTGCCCCCCATCCCCACAGATCTCCAGAAAACCTGGGGCCAGGAGGCACAGGGTAGCATAAAAGACTCTTAACTCTTACTGTTTCTAATGGCGGTGCTGCCGTTTGATGGGCTTCAATCGATGGGATTCAGCCTTGGGAGTTTTCACATCATTATTTATTTCAAAATCAACGTGTGTAAGGAGTCACGGTTGCCAAGAATGTCCACATTTTTATTCCTTCTGTTGTCATCAGCCTTCCAGTTTAGATTAAACCTTGTTGTTCAGTAAATATGTTCAGAGAAAAAGTCAGACAATTTTGAGATGTGTGTTTCTACTTGCCTTTTTTTTTTTTTTGGCACGGTAATACAGCTTTGGGAAGAACTGGGCTTCCAGAATAAGGAGCAAAGGCAGTATTTATACTTAAAATGACTGGAGGGCACACAATGCTGCTGAATACATCTGGGGCAGTTTCAATAAAAAGCGATGTTTATAAGGAAAAGCAGGACGGATCTGTTTTTCATGGCTTATCTCAGGCTGCAAAGGTTTTAGGACATCCCTGTAATCCATGGCCTGCAGGCTTATCTGCGAGTGCGAGGCTTTTGAGAATGGAAGCTTTTGGGGGAGAGACCTGGTGTGCTGGCAGAGCCGAAATGGCTGAGGCAAAGGGTGACGTATTAGTTTTGCCTTCTCAGTAATGGAGGTTTATAGTGTAGGTTTGGCAGGGGATGGGGAAGCCAGCAAATGATCTGTTTACCATGAGCTTCAGTGCCTTCCCTCTGCTCAAACATTTGGTCAGCAGATTATTTCCAAAAACCTAATTTGTTTTGCCAGCTGAGACTCCTGAATGAATTTCTCCATCACAATTTGTTATTATGTTTCATAAATGCATTGGCATCCTTATATAATTGCTAATATTTATAACTTTTATGAAATCATATAAAATAAAACATCAAATTTTTTTATTTATATTAAATTCCATGATGGCAGCTGTTATATGAAAATCTTTGTACTTCTTAAATTTCAGGGGAAATTCATTCTAACCTTTAATTACGGTAATCACAAGTATGGATTAAGTCGCGACACCATAGAAGGTATCGCAAGAGATGGTTTAGCAAGCTGTGTTCATATGGAAATAGAAGTGAGTACTTTTCATTCAATCAA